TGCAAAATTGTTTACCATATGTTACAAACTGTTCACCTTGTATCTAGAATCTGTTCATCGGGTATATAAAAATGTACATCATTTCCTTTGCAAATGTTCATCTTGTATTATGAAAAAGTTCATTGTGTATTTTTAAAAAATATTGAGTAATCTTTTCTTTAATTGTTTCCAAAAATACACAACAATTTTTTTAATATATTATGAACATTTTTCTGAACAACATAAACATTTTTATAAAAGAAATAAATTTTTAAGAACGAACATTTAATTTAAATGATATGAACTTTTTTTTTTGCATGGTGTACATGACTATTTCTACTGAGTAGTGTGAACATTCTCTGAACGTACGTGAACATTTTACTTATAAATGTTTTTTGAACAACATGGACATTTCTGAAAGTACGTGAAGATGTTTCTTAATAGTATTAACAATTTATTTAAAGCACGCGAATATTTTCCTAAAACCGAGTGAAGAATTTCTTTAAACAGAGTGGCAAACTCGCGTGCACACACGTTTGGTGTTCCATTTTTGTGCTATCAGCAAAGAATGATATGCTAGTAGTGCAGGCGCTAGCCACTTCAAGGCGAGAATGAAGTTCCGCGTCTGCCATATGAGAGCAACTAACTGAGGGATGCCTATTGCGGGAGCCCCTCAAGGGTTATTTTTGGTCGGCTGAGAGAGCGTCACTCGCCGCGCTCTCAGTCGTCGCCATGTATCGTGTGATGGGTGTTTTCTTGGGATTTTTTTTTATTTTTCTTTAGGCATTTTCGGGTTTTAGATGAGTTTTTTTCGGTTTTTTTGGCTTTTTGGTTTTTGTCTGGCTTTCCCTAAGATTTGGACCCAAAAAAATCATAAAATAACTCGTTCTTTTATCTTCCGCGAGAGGCATAGATTTGCTTTTCGTGGTGGCACAGGTTGGCTTCCGCGAGAGGCATAACTGTGCATCTTGGAAAAGAAGAAATATTTGTTTTTTATTTCACGAGAGGCGCACCTATGCCGATAGAAAATTGTGTTTTTCTTCTACCGCGAGAGGCTGCCTCTCGCGGAAGATTTTTTTTCCTGAGGCATAGATTTATTTTGAATGGAGGCCCATATTCGCTTTTCACACTGTGCCCTCTTGAAAATGGAAAAGAAATGCGGGGAGGGGGGACATGCTTCAAGCGATATATAGACGCTCTCTCGCCAAAGGAGATACATAAACGCACCCGCTTGCTGCAGAATAGAGGCGGGAAATCAAATGGATTTCATTTGATTGACCTGTTGTTCTCTAAAAGGAACCGAAATTCCATGAAAATACCCCTAAACAACAAAATTCCATGGAAATAACCACACGATATTTATGGCTAGAAACTTCAAGAATTGAAATCATATTGGATCTAGTCACTCTGGTTTAGAGGTAGGAGTAATATTCCACAAAATGTCAACTAAAATGTATTTTCCCCAACACAAAAACAGTTGTTCTGAAAACTTTAAGTACCGGCCGAGCTGATGCACTCCCACCATCCATATTCTTATTTGAAAGAATCCACACATAAAACCTTTAATTAAGAAGCTTGCAAAAGTGCAAAAATCAACTGGAGGTTGGTGGTAACTTTACATCACTGCATATGCAAGCCTTGCAGAAATTGAATTTAGTGGTTTCGCCTTGAGTCATTTGCAGGACAAAAAGATGTTGACGGACCAAAAGTGAACTTGGTAAGTTGAGGCTTGAAAGGTACTTCTCTATTTTTAACCGTTCTTTTTTCTGGCTTACGTCACTCCTCTCCTTATTATTTGATTGAAAAGTGAATTTATCTCTCTTTTTGCGAATGGAAAAGTGAATTTATCTATCACTATCCTTTTGCTTTTATATTTTATATATGCACCTCCAATGTATGCTCAGGTTGACACGTCCCCTTTGTGGGACTTTGGAGTTTGGACAACTGTAGACGAGAATTTCCTGTCTCCGGGCCCCAATAATCTGTATTACTAGCTAATTTATAGCCCCCTTTTCTTTCTTTTTTTGCGGGGTTTATAGCCCCCTTTTCAAATGTGCATGACATTGACACAACTTTAGCACCAAATTGATACATGCGCAAGCGAGCGAGCTGAAAAGGGCAAGGAATAGGTAGGCCATAATGCATCGATAGTGTTAAATTTGGAGATCACAACCACCTCCACTTGAGCTTCATTTGTTGAGGCCCTTGGCTTCTACTCCACAAATCTGCGCATTGATTGCATCACAGTTTCATGGCTGTTCAACTATATACTACCTCCGTCCTGATTTATTGGTCCCTGTTGTAATCTATGCTAAATTTTGATCATAAATTTAACTAACGAAATATTAATGCATGTCACTAAAAATTATATCATTGGAAACTATGTTCAAATATGAATCCAACGGTATAATTTTTGTTGACATGCACAAACATTTTGTCAGTTAAATTTTTGGTCAAAATTTAGCACAAATTATAAAGAGGACTAATAAACCAGGACGGAGGTAGTACTACTTAAATAGGAGGTCGTCGATTTTACAAGCAACGCTTACTCCCTCTCTTTGCTTGGTATTAGTAATAAGTGCCCAATCCGTTAATTTCTTTTGCTTTACATGTACACATATATGACATGTTATTATCTGCGGGTCACATATATGTCACGTTGTTACTTTCAAAATAAATTAATACAATAAAGATTTTTTTTAGCAAAAACTACCTTGTTCTTTCAGCAAACCAGATATCCAGAATTCAAGAAAGATTCCTTTAGCAAATAAATAGATTATTCTTTCAACAATTGTTCTAACCTTATTTGTCATCCCCATGGCCATCACCACCTCCAAGACATGATGAAGTGTTGGACAACGATCTATGGGATTAAAAGCCGTCGAGCCGAGGAACAGAAACATCACATGCTCGATAGCGTCATACACGACGACCCCACACCAGTTAAAGATAAAAGCTATGATTTTATTATGTGTGACGCCGCCTCCGCCTTGGAGACGTTGTCGCAAAGGGCGAACAAACCTAACCTATATGGAAGTAAAACTACAACCCAAGTGTTAGTTAATTGGTCGTTCCATGCACAAACCTAACACAGGTGGAGGTAATAAAACTACAATCCAAGTGTTAGTTAAATCTTGGTTCCCCGCCTTGAAGTGTCGAGAAGGCCAGACAGGGACCGATGTCCTAGCTTGTGTGGATGTTAGTTCTTTTTCTCTCGCTCTCCTCTCTTATTGGCCCAATCCCATGAGCCATAAGCAACATGGAATTACTCAATTAATAGGGTGGTTTTCTTTTATATCGTATAAGTTTTTGTGTGTGTAAAGGACTGCTATCTAACTCAAGATCGGGGGTGTAACAGAGGGGGAAGCTTCACTGGAGCAATGCGTGGAGATTGAGATGTAGCTCATATCTTTCCTTTTCTAGTGAGTTTGCTTTGTAGTGTCATCGACCAAATTTTCACCGGTCTGTAATAAGCCCTGGACACCTTTTTTACTTTCAAAACACTGTTTTGAACCTGTTCTCTGGTTTCAC